GCCCTTGGCCCCAAAATCCCCCGGGGTGGAGAGAGGGGCTGAGCTCTGCAGTCAGACCCCCCGGGTCACCAAGTCTGGTTCTGCCGCCTTTGGCCCTAAGATTTGGGGCACATTGTCCCAGAGCCCGGAACACCGGCTGTCCCTTCCTGAGCTTTGTTTTGCCTCACCCGTCAAATGGAGAGAATGACACCTAAGCCAGATGTTACCTGGGACATCAAATGACCCAGTGCAGCCACCGAGCAGGGCCTGACACGGGGACCCAGCTCCCTCGTGTGTGTGGAGTGACATGTCGTTTCCTTATTGACAGTTTTTCTCATGATCCAGCAGTTTACGAATAGAGAAGGGGTTCCCGTGGGGCCTGAGGGGTTGAGGTGACACAGGGACGGCGCCCGTTCCTACGGGCCCCCCGCCTCTGTCCTCCGTGCACGCAAAGGGCAGGGGTACGTGGAGCGAGCAGAAACGGGTCGGGTGCACGAGCAGGAAGGACGGTCGTCCTCACAGGTGCAGACACATGCAAATAAGATTCTGCTCGCCCTGTTTGCCTAGCAAAGGAGCACAGTCGGGTCTGTTTTGTTGACAGTCCTGAGTGCGGGGACACCCAGCACACCTGCTCCACTCCTGCCCAGCCCCCGGCCCTCCCTGTGCCCATCCCCCCCTGCCCCCATCGCCCTGGCTGTCCCCGCCCTGCCATTGCTTCCTACCCCCCACCCCACCCCCCACTTTGAATCTGTTGCCACCAACTGGTGGCACCAACTGGCCTCCCCCCACCTGCTGAGCTACAGGCGTATGGATTTGAAAAATAAGTTTTTGTTTTTCTGATGAGAATAATCCATGTTGATTATTTAAAATTTGGAAAAACATAGAAACTGACACAGAAGAATGAAAACCACTTGTTATCATGCCTCCCAGAGCCAATCTTTGTTGAGTCATAATGGACACACAGCGTGGTGACTGTATGCACGTTGTGAAAATGTCACCACACGAGGACAGTTAGCACCTCCACACCTCGCGTCATGGTGGTGCCGTGACACGCAGGGTCCGCCCTCTCAGTGCCCTTCTGGTCTGTAGCACAGTGGCATTTTCTTTTTCTTAATGTCGGCTATTATTATTATTTTTTTTAATGTTTTTAACGTTTGTTTATTTTTGAGACAGAGAGCATGAACGGGGGAGGGGCAGAGAGACAGGGAGACACAGAATCAGAAGCAGGCTCCAGGCTCCGAGCCGTCAGCCCAGAGCCCGACGCGGGGCTCGAACTCACGGACTGTGAGATCGTGACCTGAGCTGAAGCTGGACTGAGCCAACTGAGCCACCCAGGCGCCCCAGCTATTATTTTTTTTAAGTTTGTTTATTTTGAGAGGGAGAGACAGCACAAGCAGGGGAGGGGCAGAGAGAGAGGGAGGGAGAGAGAGAAGCCCAAGCAGGCTCCTCCCTGTCATCGTAGAGCTGGATACGGGGCGAGGACCCACAGACCGTGAGATCGTGACCCGAGCCGAGGTCGGACGCCCAACCGACTGAGTCACCCAGGCATCCCTATAACACGGCGGTATTAATTTTAGTCACCAGGCTGTGCCTTAGATCCCGGGACTTACTCATTTCAGCCCTGCAAGTGTGAGCTGCCTCCCCACCCCAGCCCGTGCTGCTGGCAACCACACTCTAGTCTAGGGCTGGGTGTTCCGCTTTTAGTCTTGCTTTTTTTTAAAAGTTTTTATTTAGGGGCGCCTGGGTGGCGCAGTCGGTTGAGCGTCCGACTTCAGCCAGGTCACGATCTCGCGGTCCGTGAGTTCGAGCCCCGCGTCAGGCTCTGGGCTGATGGCTCAGAGCCTGGAGCCTGTTTCAGATTCTGTGTCTCCCTCTCTCTCTGCTCCTCCCCCGTTCATGCTCTGTCTCTGTCTGTCCCATAAATAAGTAAAAACGTTGAAAAAAAATTTTTTTTAAGTTTTTATTTAAATTCCGGTTGGTTAACACACAGTGTATTGTTGGTTTCAGGTGTACAATGTGGAGATTCAACGTTTCCTTACGTGGCCCCGGTGCTGATCACGGGTGAGTGTAACAGGTGTGGATCCACACGTAAGTGAGCGCATTGAGTCTGTCTTTCTCTCTGTCGCACTTAGTTCGCCTAACACATGGCCCTCGACGTCCGTCCGCGTGGTCATGAAACGGCCACCTCCTTCTTTTTGTGGCTGACTAGGACTCCCTGTGGTGTGTATGCCCCGTGATCTGCCCATCCCGCTCTGGACCCTGGGGTGCGTGCGCGTCTTGGCCGCTGCGACTATGCCGCCGTGAATGTGGGGAGGGGGCAGAGTCTCCGAAATCTGGATTCCAGTGCCCTCAGGTAAATAGCCAGGCGTGACACTGTGGGGTCGTACGGCATTTCTATGTTTTAGTTTTTGGGGAAACTCCACAGTGTTTTCCACAGTGGCTGTGCCAGTTTGCCCCTCGTGTCTTTGCTCGTTGCCCGTTGTGTCTTTGATTCCAGCTACGCCACCGGGCGGGAGGTGATTTCGTGGTTTTGGTTTGCGTTTCCCTGAGGAAATGCATGTTGAGCTGGGCCGTCTGGATGTCCCCTCAGAACAGTTCTCCTCAGGGCCTCTGCCCATTATTTAGTCATAGGCATTCACATACAGTTCCTCTCGGTATGTTTTCCTGTACATTTTAAAATAAAATGAAAACAAAAAAGCTAGCCTTTTAGATAAAGTACTGGTCTCCAAAGTGTGTTATACGAGATGATCCAGTGAGGGATGCAAAGAATATACAAGAATGTCTATTTATACTTTCATTTTGATCAGGGGAAAAAACCCCACTTCGAGCATGTAATAGAATTTCACTGGCACCCTGGCCTGATCTGTCTGTTACCCAGTGACAGCAAACAGCCCCGGGAGGAGCCCTCCCACCCACTGGCTGGACTCCAGATTCTTGCTGTCTGGGGGGCACGGATATCACTGACCGAACCAGCACAAAAAGGTGGCGTTGCCAAGAAAGATCCCCTCCCAGGATTCATGGTTTGAAGACAGCACACTTAAGTGAAGAAGAAGAAAAACAGAGCTGGCTTGTCCCACGCCTGGCGTGAGCTCTCCGTCTGCACACTATGATGCAAAACAGACCACCAACTGAATCGGACAAGGAGCTCATCACAGATTCAGACTTGTTTAGATCTCCAGGATGAGATCTCTCTGACTAGCCCCCAAATGTATTTCTAACAGACCCGGATGTTTGTTGTGACGTTGCCTTAAAATAGACGAGGAATGTAAACAGTCTAAGCTTCCCTACCTTCCCTAGGCCTGAATCCTTGAATTCAAAAATCCAAACTTGCACAATATTCAAGAAGACGGAAGTATGGCTGTGCCCCTACTCCCGTCATACGTCTCTTCTAAACCCATTCTGGGCCTTGAGGGATTTGCTAATGTTGTACGAAGCCATCACAAACTGTAAGATCTTAACATATTGTTTGTTTCCTGGGTATGGATATCTTATATTTTCTAGGTTGTAATTTTTGGTGTATGCTTTAAAATGTGCAATTCCCAAATTGACAAATATATTGTGAGATTGCTTAAAATCTTTTAACATACGTTTTGCAATCTTGCCATAAAATTGATGAACCACCAACATAGACTTTATTTCTTTGCCTCTCTACCTCCTAAAGATTTGGAAGGTTAACGTCCCATTTTCAATTTTTTAAAAATTTGTTTTATTTACGTTGAGAGAGAGAGAGAGAGAGAGAGAGAGAGCAAGAGGGGGAGGGGTAGAGAGAGACAGTCCTCAGCAGGTTCTGTGCCGTCAGCGCAGAGCTCGACGTGGGGCTCGATCTCACCGACCTCGAGATCATGACCTGATCAGAAATCAAGGGTCTGATGCTTAACTGACTGATGCTCTGGGCGCCCTTCCTAGTTTAATTTTAATTTTACTAGTGGCGTCCTGTAAATAATAAATAAGGAATTTAAATCTACTCTGTCTCTCGTTATCGACGCTATGAACAGACCTCTATTTCTGTTCCTGGGTTTCGTGAGAACGAATCGTATTTTCTTTCTCCAACTTCTCAGTTTTTGCTGATGTAACTTGGGGTTTTACACAGTTTACACTTCTTGAGTCTTGTGTACTTTGTGTCTTCCTTTCCAGACATTTAGAAATATTACAATTACACGTCTGGTTCCCTAGCAGCCGGGGAGGCATGTGCTGAACTAGACCCGTGCTCAAGTTTCGCTACGAGACAGAGGTTGAGGGTCGGGATCTTGCGTGCTGAGCTGGGGGTCGGACGTGGAAAGCCTCAGGAAAGTGGGAGCTAGGGGTGTTTAGGCTGCTAACGTTATTCTAAAGCAATGTTACAACCAATATCTGTGTCCTTTAGAAATATAGTAGTGCCCCCTCACCCACGGGAGATGCATCCCAAGGCCCCCGGTGATGCCTGAGGCCACAGAGTCCCAAACCCCATGGAGACTGTATTCGCTCCTGTGCACACGCACCTGTGATGAAGGTTGATTTACAAGTCAGGCACAGAGATTAATGATACTAATTAACGAAAACAGGACAATCATAACCTTGTACTATCATAAAAGCTACGTGTATGTGCTTTCTCTCTCAAAATATCTCACTGTCCTGCACTCACTCTCCTCCTTCCGAGGATGGTGTCAGATGATAAAATGCCCATGTGACGAGGGGAAGGGAGGCGAAGGACGCAGGCGTTGTGATATGGCGTCAGGCTACGGCTGTCACAGGGAGAGTCATCTGCCTCCCGACTGTGATGACAGCAGAGAGTGAAACCACGAACAAGGGGGCCTACTATACTCTCCGTACTCTGGACTCTCTCTACTGTACTCTCGTGGGCTGCCGTGAGAGAGATCTAATCGTGGTGACCTAAACAAATGATGGGGTTGTTTTTCTCTGGTGTTCAGAAAAAGCCTGTAGGCAAGCAGGTCAGGGCAGGAGTGGTGACTCTGCGAAGCATCGAGGTCCCAGGCTACTTGTATTTTTCTGTTCCTCGGTGTGTGGCTTCTGTCCTCAAGGTCGCAAAATGGCTGCTGTAACTCTAGCCATCTTGTTGCAAGTTCCAGACGCCACAAAGAAGAAAAGAGGGGGAGGGTGAGAGGGCTTTTCCTCGAGCTCCCCCCACGGAATTCCTGTATTTCATCAGCCCTCCCTTGTCGTACAAAGGTCTGGGAAGTGTCAGTTTCCAACGGTGTATGTGAGTTCCCTTTTTTTCCACAGCCTTGTCAACGCTGAACATGATTATCCTGACTGTCAATTTGATATATGGAAGTGGTATTCTCTTCCACTTCTTTTTTTGTTTAAGTTTATTTCTTTATTTTGAGAGACAGAGAGCATGCACATGAGTGGGGGATAGGGAGAGAGAGAGAGAGAGACAGAGAGAGACAGAAAGAGGGAGACAATCCCAGGAAGGCGCCACACTATCAGCACAGAGCCCGGCTCGGGGTTTGAACTCACGAACCGTGAGCTCATGACCCGAGCCCGGAATCAGCAGTCGGACGATCAACCGACTGAGCCCCCCAGGTGCCCCTCTCTTTCATTTCTTATTTCGGCGATGATCCGTGAATTTGAGCATGTTTTTGGAAGTCAGCTCGCGGTCTCTGGCAAAAAGGAATTTGTGCAGGGAAAAGCCTCCTCTCTTCTCCACCATCCATACCCCCCCTCGCCCCCCATCCCAACTGGCCACACAAGACTTGACTCGTAGAGGGTGTTCAGGCCTGGGGACGTATGACAAGTGGACTGAGGCAAGGCGGACAGGTTCTGTGACAAAGCCTCTGAGGGAGAAACCGAGATTCTTCTGAACAGAGTCAAATTCAAACTAAGGAGAAAAGACCAAGGGCGATGCTTGCTGGGCGGAGTCACGAACTCTGGGTGAGGAGAGACAGAGAAGTGGTTGTTTACCAGGCTCTGGGAAATTTGATTCCATTCCCATATGTGGTTCCTGAGGAGCCGGTCTGTCTGGGGTCGTGTCCCCAGCGGGGAGGAGCGGCCATGGAGGGAGGAGGGAGGACGTTAGCTCAGTCCCCGCTGAAGGCTTGGCCGATCCACGCTGCTGCAGGGTCATCCAGCCTGCAGGGGAGGGGGGGATGGTAAGCAGGCGCCTTTTGAGCTCCTCTCCAACATAAAAGCCCTCGCACCCCGATGAATGACACGTGTGTCACTGAAAAACCAATGCCTGGAGTTTATCTCCTCCAGCGCCTCTTGGAACGTCATCTTTAATGTAACGCAGACGTGAACTTGATTGAACTTGGCCTGAATCCCTCTTTCACAGCCCGCGACGACCACAGGCCATCAGACCGGTAATGTTTGAGGTCCGCAGCCTCGCTGTCCTGCCCGTGGCTTCTCCGCTGCGGACCCCAGGTACGCGCGTTGCACGGGTGCCCCGTGTGCACCCCGCAGAAGTGCTCGCCTGGGCTAATCCACCGGCTGGTGCGGTGACCCCAGCGGCATCTGGAGGCCGCGGCAGGGCAGGGGGGGAGGGGGGCTGCCCGCATGCCTGACCGCCTCGGTGCCAGGGCGACCGCTCCCGACAAGTGGCCCCCCTCACGGGCGGTCCAGCCTCCGCACTCTGACTGCTTGTCTCCTCCTCCGGCCGGTCAGCCTTCTTCAACCTCTGCAGTCCTGGTGGACGCCATTCTCTCTGTCCCATCACGTCATCGTGGAGGAGTCCTATAGGTCCTTGCACATTCCGTCTCCCGAGGGGGGAGAGGGGACGACCGACCACCATGTTCGCCTGTGACACGGGGCTGCCCTGTCCTGTGGGATCTCGCACTCTGTCCTCTCTCCAAGGGCGGTGCAGAACTCTTCTCTGGGCACCTGCCATGGTCCTGTAACTTTGTGGTCCCTTATGGCTCTGGCCTGAGAGGCACCGGCTTGTCAAATACGGCTTTATCTGTCCAACCCAGCCCGGCGGGGTCTCCCTGTACCCACAGGAGGGGCTGGGGGTTCAAGCTGTCGTTTGATCCAACCCAGCGGCTCCCGGGCCTTAGAGCTGGTCGCTCACACGGCCTGCCTGCGGAAGGTCAGGACCACCCCTGAGATCACAGCCCGTGCACCGGCAGAGGGCGCCCTTTGGTAGATGCTCTTCCCCTTTCAGGGGGAGAAGAGTTTATCGACTAAGGTCTTTTACCGGTCGGTCTGAAACTACCCCTCACTCGGACACCCCGCTTCCTGGCTTGGATTGGATTCCTGGACTCCCAGGTGGGGTCTGCTTCCGGTGTCGGTGTTAATAACACCCTGTTTTGCCTTGACTCAAAACAAGCCATTAGGGACTTTCCGCCTTCCCGGCTGCAGGCAGGGCTCGGGTTGTCCGAATCTACTCCACACACCCCACGACTCCCAGGCGCTGAGAGCAGTGCTCCGTCCCGTGACAGCTCCGTGCCCCAGCCCGCGTGCACGGAGATGAGTGAGCGGCCATTGTATGGGACGGCGCCCCTTACACAGTGGGTCTGAGGCCCCTTCCGGGCCCGGAGGTGGACGCTGTCCGTCCTTCCCTCAGAAGGCTGCTCTGCACAAATGTAACTTCAGGGGCTCAATGTACCCGCGGTGCCCCCTCCCCGCCCCGCCCCGGTCCCTGAACCCCACCGATGTCCCCACCCAACCCAGCCATCGACGGATTACCACCAACCTTTCTTCCTCCTCAAACAGCTGCCCCGAGAACAGTAATTTGGAGGCCCGTCTGGTGAGGTCCGGGACTCCTCCGTCAGACTCCCTTGCAGATTCTTACCCAAAGCTACGTGACTTTTTGTCAGTCTCCAGTAAGCAAATCCCTCTGACCTCTGCATGTGTGGAGGCCTCTCCTGCCCTGTGGTTGATGTGTGGTCAGAAACCTAACAACTTTTGTGGCGCCTGGGTGGCTCAGTCTGTTAAACGGCCGACTTCGGCTCAGGTCATGATCTCGCGGTTCGTGGGTTCGAGCCCCGTGTCGGGCTCTGTGCTGACAGCTCAGAGCCTGGAGCCTGATTCAGATTCTGTGTGTGTCTCTCTCTCTCTCTGA